CAGCTGCTAGACAGACAATAAGGGACCTTGGAGGAGTCAGCCACTGACTCAGGGAATAGGAAAAGTGGTGACAGATCTTGGTTATATTATTCATTCAACAAATATTTTTGAGAATATTATTCATTCAACAAATATTTTTGAGACAACCTTGATCTCCATGGAGCTTATATACAAATAAATATGTGTGAGAAAATATACAAAGTTAGATATAACAGCTAGGAAGAAAAATAATACTCATTAAGAGGATAGTGATATGATATTGTTGTCTTAGGGTGGTCAGCAAAGTTCTTTCCAAGGAAGTGATATTTGCATAGAAAAAGGAATGATGTAAGAGAGTGAATTATCAAGCAGGTGTGAAGATCTTTGTAGGGAGAACAGCAAGTGCAAGGTACTTGGGAAAATGATGGGAAAGAGCTTATGTTTAAGGAAAAGCAACAAGACAACATGGCTGGAATATGATGGAAAAGGTAGGAAGTAGTAGTTAGCCAGACCCAGATAATATAAATGTAACTTTGCAATCTTACTGAAGAAAGGTGTTTAGATTTGCCCTTATATATAATGTAAAGCCTTTGGCAGATTACAAGCAGGAAAGTGTCATTTGTAACCTCAGTTGCCGTTGCAAGCAGGCATGAGAGAGAATAACACGTCCTTGCTTCTTTTGCTGAGACAGTTCCCCATCGCTTTTGTCTGAGAATCAATGCAATTTTTCTAGTTACAGGGCAGAATAGATGTGCCATCCTAGGCATTTTTATTGGAAAATATCAAGCATACACGTGAGTGCTAAATGTTAACCTGGCTTTTCTGATGACAATGATTCCATAGGCCAGCCTATAAAGTGAGGGAAGAATGTGAGCTAGTAGGCAGTGATGAAGGTGCTAGTAAACAGGACTAGTGTTTATAGTGAAGGTCCAGGACATTAAAAAAAAATCAAGATTCAAAGAGATAAATTTTGCAAATAAAGAGTTTTGGCCCTTCCTCTGAAACCAGAGGATGAGGAATGAGGAATATGTATGGAGTCAGAAAGTGCCTACAAATTTCAGAGAAATGGTTGAAGCAGCATTTGGGGGAGAGGAAACAACATCTACGACTAGTATCCCTAACTATTGGTAAATCTATAACTTTACCTCTGCCAGTCAATAAAACTTTCTCATGTTTGTTACATTTCTATTGCTTCCAAAGTCCTTTCATGCATATGATTTGTTTGACTTTCACAACTTTGGGAGATGGGTGGAACAGGTAAGAGTCTTAATATTCCCAGATGAAGGACTTGGGCTCAAAGAAGTAAAGTCATATGTTCAAAGTCATAGTGCTGTTTAGCTGATTAAGGGACAGAGCCAAGGATAGATTGTGGGACTGGTGATTCTTGTTGCTGAAAGTACATAGAATAAATAAAAATTTTAAGGTTAAAAAGTAATGAATGCTTAGTAGTCCGAAAGGAGGGAACTTATTCTAGGAGTTAAAGCCTTGATATATAAAGAAATCAAGAAAGCAGACTGATCTAGACCACATCCTGGAGGGGCCACGTCCTTGTCTTAAATACCAGGAGGGAGAATTCATTAGATGACTTCCTAAGGCCTTTTCTGGCCTCCAGGGTCTAGCTCATGAACTTGCCCTCTTCAAAGTTAAATCCATCTATTTGATTGGGCTGCTATTATAAAAAAAAAAAGTATTCATATATTGCTCAACATATACATTTAACTTTCATATAGCTTAGACTTTCACACTTTACATACTGACAGCCCTGAAGTGCCTTTCCTATAGCAAATTCATACTTTTACTTATCATTTGGCAAACAAGTATTTCAAGCTGTCAGTTAATGGTTTAGTTTCTAAAACATCATCACTTATATCTTTATAGCTGTGTTTCTATTGTCATCTTACCTATTATCACATGTATGCATACCACCCTTAGTATAAGACACGAAAGGAAAATATTTTTAAAAGGCACTATGAGATGATTTGAATAACATTGAAACAAAGGCTGAAATCATTTGGCACACTATAATAGACTACTTTTTGGTTCAATCCAATACAGTAGTTTCACTACCCCCTCCCCACACACCTGTGGCCCTTGCAGTGTATGCCTGAAATGGTGGATAGTATCAAACATGATACAGTGTATATACTATCTTTTTTCTTATATGTACATAACTATGGCAAAGTTTAATGTGTAAACTAGATACATTAAGCAATTAACAATAATAATAAAATAAATATAATATACCATAAAGTTATGTGAATGCAGTCTTCTCTCTCAAAATACCTTATGTAACTATGTCTTACTTGCAGTAAGTGGCTTGATGTCACTCTTTCAGAGGATCCCTCGCTGAAGTCTTCATACAGGCTCAATGCTTCTGGCACAACACAGTGCCATCAATCAGAACACGTTTTGTGTTCACGTTTCCACTCACGAACATAGTGCCTTTACCGTTTTCACTAAGGCATTTATCACACACTGTGGCTGTAACTTTTGCACTTCGAGGTTGGACAGCAAACTTGGCATTAATTTCTTTTTCCTTCTTCACAGTTTTATGGACAGAAGATTAGATCTCACCATAGATCTTTGCGACTTCAGCACGATTTTTTTCTTTCCTTATTAGGTTGAAGACTTTCACTTTTCACTTAAAGGAAGCATTTTATTGCTTCTCTTTGGTATATCCAAATTGCCAGCGTGACTACTCTTACACTTTGAGATCATTATTAAGTAAAATAAGGATTACTTGAACACAAGTACTGCAATACGTCAACGTCCACCATTACTGAATAGTGGCGTGGATACGAGATTCAGGTCTGGGGTGAGACAACGCGAGATTTCATCACACTACTCAAAATAGGACAATTTAAAATTTATAAATTGTTTATTTCTGTATTTTCTACTTAATATTTTTGGGCCTTGGTTGACGAAGGGTAACTGAAACCAGGGAAAGCAAAACCGCAGTTAAGGGGGGACGACTATACTTAACTATGTGTTCAATTACATTAAAATAACATGTATTCATTACTTAGAACATAGTTCTGGAAATGTATGGTTGAAGATTATGTCTAAAGAGGCAGCAGCTTCTAGTGATGGAGGAAATAGACAAATCCTAAGATTATGACTGGATAAAATATTAGTGATAAGAATATAGAGAAACTTTCTCAAGAGCTAAAGAGTTTTGGATAAGATACAGCCTTTATCCAAAGAACACAGGGAGCCTTCAACGTTTGTTTACAGAGTCTACAGGAAGTTGACAAAATATCAGCAAATTCAGCATCAAAATATTCCATTTAATTTTGTACAAAATCAACAGCATTAAATGCCTTTTCACATGTCACTTCAAATATGGAGCAGAATCAAGAAATGTAAAACTAATAATTATATAAATCATAGAAAAATAACTTTGTTTATTTTTATTTAATTTCCATAAAACATTGATTGTTCTCATCCGTTAAATCACAATATCCACAGCATCTAGCAGAGTACCCAGTATAGAGGAAGAACATGAAACAAATTATGCTGTAAACATTTTATTAGAATCACACAACGATTAATAATCAAGAGGTAAAAAAACAAACATTTGCTTCCTAACTAGCAATTTATTATAATTACATGTAAGTCTATCGCTTGACTCACATTTCAGACACAATTCTAAAGTGCATCAAGTAAGGAATTTCTTGTCTCAAATCACTTGACCAGAACTGATGTATTCCTAGAGTACAGACAGCAATCTATACAAAAAAACGAAAAGGTGATTTCTAGTTCCATTTGACCATAACCTTCACCGAAACACCTCTCTAGGTTTGTTTCCTCATCTGGAAAAGGTAATTCTTAGCTTTACAAAATCAACAGAAAGGAAACTATAGGATAGCATGAAAATGAAGAAAAGGCAAGTCTTCCTTGGTTATCTCCTCTTTATTCTTAAATCATCTAATCTCTGCCTCAAACTCAAAGTCACTCTGTCTTCAGTACTCTCAAGTCCCTCGGGTTAGACCTCTACCTTACCCTAAGTTCATCATCACTCATGTATGTTTCCCCCATTAGACAGTAATTCTTCCTATCTCCCACTTATTGGGGAGTTGGCAGCTGTTAGGGTCTCAACAACATAGAACGAATTCAGAGTCTGTAAAGAGTGCGACCATTCACTGTTTGAAGATAAAGTCCTCAAGGTACTGGGACACTGAGGCGAAGCAAGCCTCAAAATAATATGGGTTAGTTTTTATAGCAGGTAAATTTTTAACACATTATGTCAGCACTCTATACTGTATTTCTCACAACACCCCTAAGAGATAGGTAGTTACCGGTGTCATTTTAAAGATGAGGAAACTGAAGCTTACGGAAACTTGGCCAATGCCACCCAACTTTTAAGGGGCAGAGGCTGAATTCGAACTCAAGATAAAAATGTATGATTTTTCCCCCAACCACATTTGACAGAGATCCGGTTCAGCGTGCAGAAAGCAGACCTTGCCAGAAGAAAAGTTAATACGCACGCGCCAGATGCAGGATGGAGGGGGCTGCTAGAATCTTGTAGACCCTGCCCACGCGCTGGCATTAAGGGGAGATGTCCCCTTAAGAAAGGGGGGCTTCTTCTCACCCGACAAAAAATAACTCCCCAACTGGGAGGAGGTTCCCTCCGAAGGCGGAGGGCTAGGCAGATGGAAGAGGACTCGGACAACTGGCCGAGGGAGCAGCTGGCCCGTCAGCGGGGATCGGAGGAGGAGGGTAACAAGAGAGGGGAGGCGGCAGCCGGGGAGAACCAGGAGTCCTGGACGTGGTCCGTCCCAGCGGAATGGGACCAGCAAGGCCCGTCGAGAACGGAGCCGGCGGGCTCGGAGGCAGGACGGGTGGCGGCGGGCGCCCCAGAAGGAAGGGAAGAGACCAGCTCCGAGGAAGCAGCAGAGCAGCCGCCGAGGGACTCGGACCGCTCTAGCGGAGAAGAGGGGACCAGCGGGCCCGGGGGCGGGGCGATGGCGGGGCTTGAGGTCGGGGGGAGGAGAGAGAGGCGGGGAAAGACGGACCAAGCGGCGAAGAAAGGGAAGCGGCGCAAGAGCAAGGTTGCAAAGGACCCGGGGGAAGTCGAGGACGCGGCGAGGGAGCCGGCGGGCCAGCAGTCGGGCAGCTTCCCGGGAGAGGGCTGGGAGGGGCCCCAGGAGCGCTCCCGGAAGAGGGCCACGAAGCGGGCAGCCAAGGGCGCCAAGCAGGTGGAGCAGGAGCGTCCGCTGGAGGAGAAGCCCAGCCGCCTGAAGATCCCAAATGCGGTGGGGACGCGGGAGAGCGAGATCCTCAGACAGGCGAGGAAAATATCCTCGGGGAGCTGCGAATTGAAGCAGCAAGTCCAGTTGCCCAGGGTCAGATTCAGTATCAGCCCCAGAGCTGCCCGCCAGTCGCTGTGGTCTGAAGCTGGCCGCGCGTCGCTCAGTGTCGTTAACGAGCTGGCGAAGATGGGCGACCCGAACGTCCTGGAAATGGTGCGGCAGGAAGGTAGGAGCCGGCAGAGAGGCGCGGGAGGAGGGTCGGGCTCCGCGCGCGGACCCCGCCACCCCGGGCGCAGAGACCTCGGGGAACGTTGGCAGCCTGGAGCCCGGGGACCTTCGCAGAGTGGCGTGCCATGCGCGAGACAGGGACTGCAAGACTAACAGACCCTGCCGGGCGTGGGTGGGTGGGTGTCGGTGGCTCATGATTTCCACTGCTGCTCGGGCGAGTCCCGGACCTCTGTCCTGTAACCCCTGCGGTTCTGCGACCACGGTCCTTTTCTGTATATGGCGGAGCGGTGGAATAATGCTGGGAGGCGAGGTCAGCGCATTGGGCGTGTGAGCTGAGGTGTCCGGGCCTGTGAACCCAGGCACTGGGAAGAAAGCCTCCCTTAGAGAGCCCCAGCTTAGAGTACACGACAGCGGACCCATGTGTGTGGGAAGATGACCCTTAAATGCTGTTGCCTTTCTTTATTCGCCAGTTACTGCTCGAGCTTTGAGATCCTTGTTAATTATGGGAGGGGCAGACCCTAAGGCCCATCAGCTTGAGATTCTTCCGCACTTGAGAATGCTGTGTTTTACCAGCTTTCGTTGAATATTTAGTTATGTTGAGAAATAGTTGCTAAATATTTGTTTGCTAAGGCCTTTGCACGTACTTACATTCTGTGGATCTATTTTACTATACATTTTTCTAAAAACGCACGTATTTTTTCTCCAAGATCTCCGATGACTCTGTTTTCACGTCTTGTTTAGTATTAAATCTAAACATGGAAACAAAATTTTAAGTGATAAAATATCTAAGCAGTTTTACTAGTCAGTCTTATAAGGCACCCTTATAAGGCAATGCATTATTGCATTTTCCCCCATTTTCTTAACAGCTTTATTGAGGTATAATGGACATAATATAAAAGTCCCCCATTTGAAGTGTACAAGTCAATGGTTTTTAGTATATTTACAAGGTTTTTCGATTATTACCATAATCTTAATCTAAGAAACCTCTTAGTAGTCACTTCCTACCCTCCTTCCTTCTATTCCCTACCCCTCAGCTATAGGCTGCCAATAGCTTATTTACTGTCTCTATAGATTTACCTATTCTGGCCACTGCATGTAAACAGACTCATATAATGTGTGGTCTTTGTAACTGACTTTTCTTCTTTCTCTTAGCATACTGAATTTGAAGTTCATCCATGTTGTAACTTGTATCAGTGCATCATTCTTTTTATTGCCAAATAATGTTCCATTGTATAGATATACCACACTTTATCCATTCATCGATTGGTGGACATTTTGGTTTCCACTTTTTTTAGTATCATGAATAATACTCCTATGAGTATTCATGTACAAGTTTTTGTATGAACATGTTTTTATTTTTCTTGGATACATATCTAGATGTGGAATTGCTGGATCATATGGTAGCTCTGTATTGAACATTTTGAGAAACTGCCAGACTATTTTCCAAATGTCTGTATTATTTTATATTACCACCAGCAATGTATGAGTTCCAATTTGCCCACATCCTCACTAACATTTGTGAGGTATTATCTCAGTGTGGTTTAGATTTGCATTTTCCCCAGTGACTAATGTGTCAAATATCTTTTCCAATATTTATTAGCCATTCATATATCTTATGTAGATATATGTGTTTTCAATTCCTTTGCCTATTTAAAAAAATTAAGTTATTTGTCTTTTTATTATTGCATTATGAGAGTTCTGTATAGTCTCTGGCCATGCTACCCTGAACAAGCCCGATCTCATCTGAACTCGTAAGCTAAGCAAGGTCAGGCCTACTTCAGTACTTGGATGGGAGACCACGTAGGAAGACGAGGTGCTGTAGGAGCAAAAGAAAAAAAATAAAAAGGGATTGTAAAATGAGAAGGTCCTTGCAATCTGTGAGATCAATCAAGGGTTACCTCGCCTAAAAAATAAAATAAAAAATTTTTAAAATTTAAAAAAAGTTCTGTATATATGATTTGCAGATATTTTCTCCTCTCCCTTGGGTTGTCTTTCCATGTTCTTGATGGTGTCACTTGAAGCAACTGCTCCTAAGTCAAAAAATAATGTGAGGATAGAGGGAAATAAAACTATTGAAAACTCAGCTTTCACTCATGGCTCTGCTAAATTATGCAGTAAATTTATTTGTAAGGGAAAATGATTGATGTCAAGTGGTGCAAAAGAAATCAAGTGACTTTCAAATGCATAAAGTTAGAAGTCCCTTTCTTTACTTATTTAGTGGTTTCCTCCTTTGCTGAGAATTACTTTTAGTTGTAATTTCTGTAATCTGAAGGTCTTAATAGAATTTTTTTATTTAAAGCATTCAATAATTCCTTATAATCAGTCCTTCTGAAGTAAAGCTATGACAAGGTACCGAAATATATTCTTAATTGAAGAAAGAGTAGAAGAAAAAAATGTGATGTATGAACTCTTTATAGATAAGGAAAAAAATACATTTTAATATAGTATGGCAGAGATTGACATTTCACATATTAGAAGTATGATCTAATTTAGCCTGAGGATAATTTTACTTGCTAGAATGTCGACTTAAATTAGTATTACTTCAGCGTATATCATACTACAGCTTGAATCCTTCCCAGGAAGGTTTTAGAACTTTTCCCAAAAGAATGTCAATTTTCTCTTTTCTCAGAAAAAAGTGATTTTTAGTAAATTTCCCTACTTGCCATTACAAATAGCAAAGGCCTTTGTGATTTTCATGTATTCCTTCTTATGATCCAACCTTTGCCTACGATTTGGATGTAGATTAGAGAAAAGATATCAATGTGAAGTACTGTATATATATGATGGTTGGTTCTGACGACTGCATCCTGCCCAAATTCCTGTTTTCTGTTTTGTTCATAGATCCAGAATCCAAGCACAACAGGGTAGTGTGGATTGGTGAGAGTGGCGTCTAAGGAGCAGGGTGGTCCATCCAGGCCACTCAGATGACATATTTCTTAATGTTTTTCAATATGTCAGTTGTTTTGCTGGATTGCTTTAACTGCCTATTATTGAGACCTCTGTTATTACTAGGGTTATGTAAAAAGTGCAGTGAGGATGTAGTTTTCAACATCTATAATCCAATGGATTTTGGAAGCTCAGTTCTAAATATATGTTTCTTCCTGGAGTTTAATGACACGGCTATGAAAACAAAAGTGATGGTTGAAGAAGGATGAAAATTACTGGGTTACACAGCATTAAATTTTAGAAGCTACTTTTATTTCTATGTTTTAAAACATAGACAAATTTCTTACAGTAAATTTATCAAAACAGTTAATCCTAGATTTAGTATATTATGTATTTCCTAAATTACCTTTAAAGAGTAAATATGAGAAAGTTAAACAATTGATTTACATGTACACCTGTCCTTTGGTAATGTGAATATTTGATGTCAGATGCAGTTGACCCTTCAACAACACAGGTTTGAACTGTGTGAGTCTGCTTATACGCAGATGTGTTTTTCAATAGATATTGTCAATGTATTTTCCTTATGATTTTCTTAATAACATTTTCTTTCCTCTAGCTTACTTTATTGTAAGAATACAGTATGTAATACATATGTAATACATATGTATGTTATTGATAAGACACTTCCTGTCAACAGTGTGTAATACACATGTAATACACATGTATGTTATTGATAAGACACTTCCTGTCAACAGTAGACTATTAGTAGTTGAGTTTTGTGGACTTTCGACTGTTGGAAGGAATCAGTGCCCATAATTTCTGCATTGTTCAAGGGTCAACCATATTTTATTTTATGCTGCTGGACAGAGTGTAAACTGATCGGAGCATTTGGTAAATGCAAGTGCTATTTTTGGGCTCTGGGTTTGCTGGAGTGTGTATTCTTAGCAATGTGCTTTCAGTGAAAACTCAAAGCTCGGTCTTTGGGTTGGCTTTACTTTGAGCTCATATTTTATGAATTGCCACAATGATTGGTATTAAATCCTTCGTATTTCTGATTTCTAGCCCATTAGGATGCATATAGTCATTTCCATTGATTTTACAGAAAGTTAGAAGAATAAAAAGAAGCTGATTTAAAGTTGTCAACTTTAAATCCTGCCTCTTCAGATAGGCCTCTGTTTTGTCAGGGGTTTGGCGATTATGTATAGTTATTATAACCTTATCCTCTGTGAATGTGAAAGTGTGTCTGGGTCTACAGCATCTGTGAGCATCTGATTGTGTTTGTGAGAGAGAGCTAGAAAGCATTTATGTGTGAGAGGGAGTATAGTTTATGAAGTACTTCTATCCTCTTTAACTTTTCTGCTTTTCACAAAAGGCTGCAGTTTACATAGTATGCTCCATCTGGCTCTCAGGGAGCTGGAGCTAGCAGTCTTGTGGAGGGAGGTATAATTGGGCTAGGTACCCAGAAAGGGCTATATCCAGGGTGGTATGGGAGGAGCTAGGAGGCTCACCCAGCAGACAGATAAGGTTTCAGGTGAAGCCTGAAAGGAAGATGTCAAAACTGATATAATGTAAAAAAATAAGCAAGAATTAGCCTAGAAAGAAATTAGCTAGAAGAAAGGAAGCAGCAAATTGAAAGATGAAAACATAAGAGAAGTAGTAGGGATTGGAGATAATCTGAAGGAAATCTGCCGTCCCATTTCCCATTTTCAAATAAATGCATTGTATCAAGTTCCGATAGTTTGAAAATATTTTTTCAACTATATGTTAAATGCAGCAAAAATAACTAGATGAAGGAGTGGTCAGTGCTTGCAGTTTTTCAACTTTCTCTTCTAAAAGTTAGAATTATAAAATACTCTGTAACTACACTTGTTTGCTCTGTACTTGGAACTCTGTTTAGTTCTGCATAATAGTGCCTGTTTTTGTCCTCAAGAAAAATGAAAGCCTTCTTAAGTCAATTCTCAAGCACCATACTTTGAGAGACAAAGCATGTATTTCTTAGAATCCAGTTCTTTATCTACTCATTATAAGAGTTTGCTAGATTGATGTCTTTTTCATTAAAAAGTCCAATGAGAGATGGTCGAGACATGGCATTTTGAGTTATACATCTAAACAGTACTCATGGTGGTGCTGTATGATGTTTTATATTTTTCAAATGATTTTTACTTATATTTTTAATCTTATAGATTAGAAAGACTGCACTCAGAAATGTTAAGTGATATAGCAATGGGCATGTTGCAGGAAGCAACACCCAATGGAGGAATTTGGATGCTCAGACAACTTTGTAAGAGGAAGGAGAGTTTATTAGGCCGGCGGAGCGCATGTGGCTCTAGACAGAACAAAAGGCACGAGTTTGTTCCGGTTAGAGTTCTTACAGCTTATTCCATGCAAGTTCCATGCAAGTTCCATGCAAGTTCCATGCAAGGGGTGTGTGATTCCCTTGTCTGAGGGTCTACATGTACTTCCTGACTCAGGATGGAAGGGGGAGTTTCAGATGGGGGCTACAAGGGGAAAGGAATTTCTGGACCACTAGTCCTTCTATTTACAGATGGTTTCTCATGTAGGTGTGACAAGTTTTTAGAAAGCCATTCAGAGATCTATAAGATGTTGTTAATCTATAATGGCTGAGTTGGTCATTTCTGCAAGCCCTTTCCTTTGCATTTTTCAGTTGCCTCCTCTCTTAGGCACAGTCTGTTTTTGTGCTTTGCTTATAACAACTATTAACTTTTAAAATAACAGATCCTATAACAAAAAGATCTGACTACAAAAGAAATTTTTTATCTTAAGTCAGACACTCTGAAACTTATCCCAGAGAATTTAAAACAATTTTGAAAGTTAACAAAAGAACAGAATACATCCTAATAATAATAATAATATCAACAAGAATAACTAATATTCATTGACCTCCTCTGTGCTTACAACTGCATGAAATACTTTTCATGCATTATCTCATTTATCTCATTTGCTTGCACAAACCTTATGAGATAAACATTAATACCATTTATATATCTGATAGCTTTGAATTTCTGTCATATTCTTAAGTTGCTTTACTTGCAACCACTTTGGGTCAACTCCAGCAAAACACTCTGATAGAATATTACATCTTACATGGTAAGAACTAAGAGATAGCAGTGGACATCCCTATTGGATGTTTTCCTCTCAACAGTTTTGTTGACTATAGATTAATAACTGCATTTATTAGAGTTCAATTTATTTCTATTTATTTCTTAGTAGGTGAGATTAACTTAGTTGGTGATTTCTTTTGGAGGCTGTTGTGAACAGCTTAGCTCCAGGAAGATCATGAGTGTTTTCTTCCAGTATTTTTTTCTTTAAACTTTGGTTTGATTTTTGAATTCCTATTTTATCCAAATGCAGATTTTTAACATATTCTGATCAATTGGTCATTTAAACATTTTTTTTCTTTCTTATTCAATTTAGAGGGAAGAACTGGTAGGGAAGCAGACTATACTTTTGATGGAAATGAGGTAAGTTGAATATACATTAGCTTCCTATAAGTCAGAACAAAAATCAGACTAGGTTAGAAATGTACTTCCTATGAATACTTAGGTCTTTGTACTTTATTTATTCATCGTACATTCTTTCTGTTTCATCCTCTAACCTATTCATCGTTTAGTAAGTAAAGCAAATTCCATGTTTCAGGCAGATTTAATATTGGATCTTTCTAGATATTATAAGAGAACAAACCCAAGCTTAGAATTGATTTGAGTCTCCCTGTGAAATAAACTCAGATATGCTGAGACTTGATATGCAGTATAATAGTGTTTGGCTTAACGCTTTGCTAGAATATAATGAAGGTATAATATATGACAGCTTTTTTATGTTACAGTTATTAGTCTGTGATTAGTGCTTACTGATGAATATGCCAGCGTTCAAGTCACTCAGCCTGAATTAAGTAAATATATTAAATAAAATAATAAATAATAAAATTAAATACTCCTTGTAAAAATACAGAATTTTCTTGACCAAAGGCCTTATTTTATTCATAAAACATAAAAAGATACTAACAATTTAGATTTCTTATATACAGAGTATAAGCATTTTGAAAGTATGTCAAATAAAATAATCTTTCTAGTAGACTCTAGTTGACCCAGAGCAGTACTCATGGAGGTACATGTCCTTGAATTGGGTTGGGAGTGTCCACCCAGATAAAAAAAAAAAAAAAATCTTTAAAAATGCTTTTTTAGGAATGATTGAAATTCTCACCTTGGGAAATACACCCTATCAGAATAGGTTGGCTATATGCTAGTTGCCTGGATAAATTGGCTAGATAAGCTGGTTGACTTAAGATTCTCAGAAGTTTTGAGATTTCTTTAAAATCTTAGCGACCAAAATGCTGAGAGAAAAAGAACATGAGAACTGAGAAGCCTATGAAAATCATTTAGTCAAGTAATTTTTACAGCATAATTTATAGACCACCTGACTAAGAATAAATGAAGTTCTTAAAAATGCAGGCTCTCTTGGGCCCAACCTCTAACTACTAATCAGTACTGTTGAGGATAAGGTTAAGGAGTCATGATTTTAAAAAAGTACCTAGATGATTCTTATTGCCATTAAAGTTTGAAAACTACTGTCATAGAGTCTCCACAACTAAAGAGATGTAATGTGACACAGAGAACATTTATTGAGTAAATAAATCATGGTAATTATTTAGAAAATTAAAGTTTTCTAGTCTTTAGAGTAGACTGAGGAAAGTTTTATCTTATGAGATTGACACAATTTAAATGATAATAAATATATTGTCATTTCTATTTTGTTCATATTGACATAATAATAATAATACACTCTTCACAAATTGTTTTATGTATTGCTCAAGTTAACTTCAATTACAGTTCACATTCTTTGCTTCTGTGTGTATCTTTCATATCTATGTATATCCCAAACTTTTATAACAGAAAAACAATTTCATGTCATATTTATGCTGTTCCTTATTCCTTTGCACATTTAAGAGCAATAGTTATTGCTTCCTTGTCTTTAACCTCAGATAGGTCTTCATTTGAAACAAGTTTGCTCAGATTTTTAAGGCTTTACTTTTGGCTTGCCAAGTTCAAAAATTTACTTAGTTAAATTCAACCGTAGTATTTTAGAAATATATGTCATAGTTTTTTGGATTTTTAAAAAATTTTATAGGAAGGCAACAAGCGGCAGGTGACAGGGAAACAAATTCAATGCTGGGAATGTAGCACTGTCATACCAAAGTCCCTTTTAGACTCAACCTAGAATTATGGCTAACCTTTCTTTTTTAATGTAGAATGCTTTGGAGCAAAAGCAGCATCTGTCTGAAACAAAGAAGAATTACTGTAAAGCTTAGAGTTATTAAGTGGATATATTATTGAATTAATCAATTTAAAAGCGACTGTAGCTTTTGCTTTCAGAAAGATGGAATAGACAAAATTTTTCCTATTCCTTCTGCTAAGTACAACTAAAAACTCTTGGCATTATATATAAAATAAACATAAGAAGACTCTGAAAGTTAGAAAGAAGAAGACAGATTGGCTGGCAACCTTGGCACTCAAGGGACAGCACTGAAGTTAGTTCCCTGAATTTTCTCTTTGCTTTATATATTGTAGACTGGATGCTGGAGGAGCCAGTAACGCAAAATGCTAACTGGCACAGACAAGTAAAGCACCAAGATAAGCCTACTCTCTCTAGCTAATGGACCAGGCAACGGGTAACCTAGGAATACAGAAAACTTTTAGTCAGTAACTGCTCTTTATAGCCAAACACCACAGGAAAAAAAAAAAAAAAAGGTCCTACCATCATCCCCTCAAAAAGAGCTCAGTTGTGGAGACTAGACTTTTCACCCCTGCCTGGTGGTAACAACGCATCCAGCTTCCCATAGAGTTAGTGTCAGAAAAGGCTGGATGGGGACCCAGGCCTTTTGTCCCCACTGGGTGAAAATGTGTCCCTCCCATGCACTCATTAGCATGATGTCAATGGAGAACATGTGGGCAACCTGAACTTTCACTCTCATCAGTGGTAACAAGGCGTTCAATCCTCTTCTGCTGGGTTGGTATCAAAAGTAGCCTGGTGGAAAGCGAGGTGTTTCACCACTGTCTAGAAGTAGAGAGGCCACCCCCGTATCACTTCCTGCCATGGTGACAGTGGAAGCCATGTAGGGAGCAGTAAGGAGGTGTCCTTGCCCTTTCCAGCCAGGTTGGGATCAGTGAAAGCTTAGGTAAGCTTGAACTTCCACCCCACCCCCACCCAGCAGCAATGTGAAACCCTTCTACTACCCTGCTACCCCTTCATATTCACAGAGGTTGAGAGAGGCACATGGAATTCTACTGCTACCAGGTAGTAAAGCATCGCTCCACTTACCACACAAGTCAGAGAAGACTTGCTAAAACAGATTTAAATAAAATCTAGAGTTTTATAACACGATGTCTCACGAGTTTAGATTTATATAGAAAATCACATATAATACCAAGAACCAGAAGGATATCGACTTGAATGAGAAAAGACAACAAATATCAATACTGAGGTGACATAGATGTTAGAATTATCTGATTAGGATTTTAAAGCAACTCTCATACCAAGGCTTCAGTGAGCAATTGTGAACATTCTTGAAATGAATTAAAAAAAAAATAGAAAGTCTCAGCAAAAATAAAATGGAAGTTTTAAAGAAGAACATATTAGAAATTTTAGAATTGAAAAATAGAATAACTGAAATAAAAAACTCAACAGCAGAGTGGAATGGATAGAGGAAAGAATCACTGAACTTGGAGATAAATAAAAATTACCCAATCTAAACAGAAGAAAGAAAGAAAATGAAAAAAAAAAAAAAAAAAAAAAAAAAAAAAAAAAAAATTGGAAATGGCTTTCCAACTGTGCTCCTATGAATTCTAAGGATTTAAAGTTTATTACAGTTATTACAACCAACACATGCAGGTATATTAGAGGAAGCACCTAGACTATTTTGGCTTGCCAAGTTCAAAAATTTACTTAGTTAAATTCAACCGTAGTATTTTAGAAATATATGTCATAGTTTTTTGGATTTTTAAAAAATTTTATAGGAAGGCAACAAGCGGCAGGTGACAGGGAAACAAATTCAATGCTGGGAATGTAGCACTGTCATACCAAAGTCCCTTTTAGACTCAACCTAGAATTATGGCTAACCTTTCTTTTTTAATGTAGAATGCTTTGGAGCAAAAGCAGCATCTGTCTGAAACAAAGAAGAATTACTGTAAAGCTTAGAGTTATTAAGTGAATATATTATTGAATTAATCAATTTAAAAGCGACTGTAGCTTTTGCTTTCAGAAAGATGGAATAGACAAAATTTTTCCTATTCCTTCTGCTAAGTACAACTAAAAACTCTTGGCATTATATATAAAATAAACATAAGAAGACTCTGAAAGTTAGAAAGAAGAAGACAGATTGGCTGGCAACCTTGGCACTCAAGGGACAGCACTGAAGTTAGTTCCCTGAATTTTCTCTTTGCTTTATATATTGTAGACTGGATGCTGGAGGAGCCAGTAACGCAAAATGCTAACTGGCACAGACAAGTAAAGCACCAAGATAAGCCTACTCTCTCTAGCTAATGGACCAGGCAACGGGTAACCTAGGAATACAGAAAACTTTTAGTCAGTAACTGCTCTTTATAGCCAAACACCACAGGGAAAAAAAAAAAAAAAAGGTCCTACCATCATCCCCTCAAAAAGAGCTCAGTTGTGGAGACTAGACTTTTCACCCCTGCCTGGTGGTAACAACGCGTCCAGCTTCCCATAGAGTTAGTGTCAGAAAAGGCTGGATGGGGACCCAGGCCTTTTGTCCCCACTGGGTGAAAATGTGTCCCTCCCATGCACTCATTAGCATGATGTCAATGGAGAACATGTGGGCAACCTGAACTTTCACTCTCATCAGTGGTAACAAGGCGTTCAATCCTCTTCTGCTGGGTTGGTATCAAAAGTAGCCTGGTGGAAAGCGAGGTGTTTCACCACTGTCTAGAAGTAGAGAGGCCACCCCCGTATCACTTCCTGCCATGGTGACAGTGGAAGCCATGTAGGGAGCAGTAAGGAGGTGTCCTTGCCCTTTCCAGCCAGGTTGGGATCAGTGAAAGCTTAGGTAAGCTTGAACTTCCACCCCACCCCCACCCAGCAGCAATGTGAAACCCTTCTACTACCCTGCTACCCCTTCATATTCACAGAGGCTGAGAGAGGCACATGGAATTCTACTGCTACCAGGTAGTAAAGCATCGCTCCACTTACCACACAAGTCAGAGAAGACTTGCTAAAACAGATTTAAATAAAATCTAGAGTTTTATAACACGATGTCTCACGAGTTTAGATTTATATAGAAAATCACATATAATACCAAGAACCAGAAGGATATCGACTTGAATGAGAAAAGACAACAAATATCAATACTGAGGTGACATAGATGTTAGAATTATCTGATTAGGATTTTAAAGCAACTCTCATACCAAGGCTTCAGTGAGCAATTGTGAACATTCTTGAAATGAATTAA